CTCTCTCCCCGTATATACTTTGGAGTTCGTTTATATTTGTACTTTCGAGTTGTTTGCAGCACTCTCGAGCCGAAACGGAAACAACCTGAGCACAGCAATTCCTTACGCTCCAGTTCCACGCAATTTTATCTTTGTTTTTTCCTCTTCCCCACTCCTCCGTCCTTTTTTTATTCCCCCTGTTATTTGAGTGCATTAGGCCTGCAGGAATTTAACTTCTTGGCTTTTGTGGTTCTCGAGTATGTGTAGCGGTTTGGTCCTGAATTCATTAATCTAAGCACTTATTCCAAAACTTTCCTGTTCCCCACAGTTTCGTTGCAGCAGTACTGTATTTTAAAGAACGAATTGTTACGCATGTGCACCCGAACTCATCGTGATGTGGTTTTTCGTCTGTGTGTACCTGCAGGCACTTCGCGCTCAGTGTTTACAGCTAAGGGATGAAACACAAACTGCCTCTGCCTCTGTTCAGCTACATATGAAAAATCTTTATCCATTTTCCCGGTCTCCTTGTAGAGCTGAACAATATGCAGGATTTTCACACGCAGCAGTAAATTGTTTATTCGAATGAATTAACAAAATGCCTTAACAAACTGACACGTTTTAGTCTAGTTCGCAAAAATATAATGTAAATATGGGTGCTGTGTTTGACATCTACGAGGACCACTAAACAGTTAATATAGTATGCTAGTAATTATGGATGTGGCAGTTTTGACGCATTCTCGTTTTGAGTCTTCACATAAATACTCCCTCAGCTACATAATTTTAAATACTGCAAACGAAACACTGATCCAACAAACGGAATTCTGTGCAAAAACCATTATGCATGTTCTGCACTTTGAGCAGCGTTGTACATCAAAGCTTTGTTCTCTTCAACATCTCATAATCGGCTCACAAAAGAATCTGAATCCGTAGTCTTGTGCTCTTCTGCGTCGCTAACTGATGACGGTTCGATGACTGCTTTGACGGCCGGAGTTTTTATAGCTTCTGTCTTTGGTACGTCAAGCTGCTCAGTTTCAGGCATCTTCTGGACGTCCTCTTCAATTTTGCTGATCACAAAAATTCGAGAACTGGTCCCTGCAACTAGTTTTACAAATTTTGACTGCGTGAAAAAATATGCATTTTATAAGAATTGCTAAAAAGCAACTTCACATGCTTCTCGTGCTTTCTCCCCAAGATGTAAGTGGCTGAATCCATCTGGTGTCTTTGTAATAGTGCTTTTACAAACAGTCCCATCCGTTAATAAAAAATCTTTCCGTAGGCTACTTCTCCTCTAGTGCCATTTTTTTAAAAGAAAAACAGGTCCATGGGTCTTGAAAAGATTGATTTTACCGCCTTAGCTTCACAGCGAAAGAAGCTGGGCTGCTCTACAAACAGTTCTACTAGGCTATCGATTTCGCTGGTTCGCCCTAGCATTTTAAATACTCCTAAACGCGGCACAGCCGTGACGCACAAACCACTTAATACTAGAGATGACTGAGGGAATATGTACTTTTCCGAATCCTTGTGAGTGAAAAAGATACCCAGAATTCCTTAATTTGATGAACGGTGACTTAACAGCTAATTTTAGACGAATCCCATGAAAACAGGGTGAATTGAATGCTAAGGTCGTTCTTGTGGACTTATCTTTAAAGTTTCAGAATTAACGAGTAGTGGCGCATAAGCCGGGTCTAAAGTTCCAGGGTTACTCATTGACAAGAAACATCCTAAAATTTTAGGTTTGTGCCTTGTCTGATCCCCGAGTTGCAACATTTCCTGCCAAAACTTTCATGTATCCGTACTTGAGAAGTAGATTTGCGTAGAGGCTGAATTTAAATTTTTATGGTTGAACATGCAGATGAAGCGTTCTGATAAAATTTGTTCTCCATAACTAGGAATTTCCCGCTGAAACTTTCACTTATCTGTACGTGAAAAGCAGACGTATATCAAAGCTGAATTTAAGTTTACAGGGTTGTATGTAGGCAAAGAACATTTGACTAAATTCTAATTTTTCTAGCTTTTCTGGTTGCAAAGTTGAAAACCCCAAAGAAAAATTCGAACGCAACATACACGGACACGCGCATACATACATAAATACATACATACACAACACACGTACACATACACACACACGACAGTGAAACACTTTGGAGATATCTTTAATGTAATAGTTTCGGCAGGTCAAGCAAATATGCAAGAAAAGTGATAAAGTAAGTTGGGCGAATCTCTGTCAGTGGATGACCTCTGTACGTATGCGCTGAGTGCGACGAATTGCACGCTTACTGAACAACTGATTGATATAAACGCATAATTACACTGTCGTTAGATACTTTAACTACCCTATTTGACTGACAACTTGATTTATTAGATGAAATTGAAGGTATATACCGCTTGAAAGATTGCTGATTCCATCCGATTGGATTTCCGGAATTCCTTCAGAAATATTTCTTGGTGTGAAAAGCGGTATTTGCGGATGTGCGTTGAGCGTCATATTGCGTGAATGTACTGTCTCTTCGTTCTCCTCAGTTAGATCTTCCAGAATATGATGAGGTATTGCGACAATGTTCGAGTCATGCGATGAGTCCCTGGAAAAGAAGCCGCGATGCGGATGTGTTGGCTCACCTGTAACAAAAAAGTTACAATTGCCTGAATTCACTCACGACTGTTTCAAAAGGCGATATTTGGTATCTTTTGTTGTTAAAGTTTACCTTCCACTATTCAGTAAACTGGATTGGGGCCTTAGAGCAAAAAAAA